GGGGGGGAGAGGGGAGAGAAGGGGAGAGAGGGGGAGAGAGGAGGAGAGATGGGGGGAGGGAGGAGGAGCGCATTGTTTCACTAGGCCGAGGCGTTCGCCTTTGGAGTCGAGACCCTCCCGACGCCACTCACCCTCCTCGGCGGTGCGCTCATCGTCGCCCGCTCCGAGAGTACCCCAGATTGCCCGAGGTTACGCGAGATCTGAGATTGCCGAGCTCAGGTGCGCTCATCATCGCCGGCTCCGGCCTCATCGTCGCCGAGGAGCAGATCCCCGCCCGAGATGAGCCGAGACTAGCCGAGATTGACCGAGATTGGCCGAGATTGGCCGAGATTGGCCGAGATTGACCGAGATCGACTCCGCGAGAGGAGCGGCTTCGGCACGTCCCGTCATCTCTCTCCTTCTCCTGCACTAGGCGCGGACACGCGAGATGACGGTCGACCTCGGGCCGGCGCCCGCACTAGATAGCCGCGATCACACCCAGCGCAAAGGTGCCCTATCCCTGTCCTGCAGCTGCCTGGTTCCGTCATCCGACGCAGATGGGTCTAGGCGCCTCACGTGCCGGTCAACCCGATTGAGGGAGAGGAAGAGGGGGTGGGTGGGGGTAGTGCCGCCTTCGTCAGCACGATCGAGTACTCGCCGTGCCACCAGACGTACCACCAGCTGTGGTACCTGGGAGTCCGCAGGCGCGGCGCCTCTCAGTGGACGCACCACACCAGCTGTGCTACCACACCAGCTGTGCTGCCCTACCAGCTGTGCTACCACACCAGCTGTGCTACCACACCAGCTGTGCTACCACACCAGCTGTGCTACCACAACAGCTGTGCTACCACAACAGCTGTGCTACCACACCAGCTGTGCTACCACACCAGCTGTGCTATAGCACACCACCTGTGCTATAGCACACCACCTAAACTGCTACACCTGTGGTACCCTGTGGTATCGTACCAGCTACCCAGCTACCCAGAGGGGAGCCGAGCTTGGAGACCGGATCTGGCGCCATCGCCCCCCCGCCATTCTCTCCCCTCCCTTGCGTCCCCCCATGCCGCGCCGGCGTCCCAACACCCGATGCCGCGCCGGTGCCCCAACACCCGGCATGGCTGTGTTGTGGCTATGTTGGCCGTGTTTCGCCTCTCCCTCTATCTGCCCGCACTAGACTCTCTGTCTGCGCACTGCAGCCGCCCGCGCCGCCAGACGTGCAGCCGCGGGTAGAAGCCGACGAGGGTGCGCTCCGCGTTCCTCCACGCCTCGAGCGCCAGCGCGAGGTCGTCGCACGAAGCCTGCGGCAGAGGAAGATTGGAGCCGGTCCGGGTTACTGCTCCGCGGCTCCCGCCACATCCACGCCCATCGCGCGCGCGCCTCGACGTCGTCGTCGACGGCGAAGATGGCGCGCGTGCGGAGCGCGGGCAGCGGCGTGAAGCGGCTGTTGAGCGAGTCCGGCAGCACGTCAAACTGCACCCGCGGCGCGCCATCGACGCCGGCAGCTCCGCCAATGCGCCACCCGTCGGTGGCCGGCGGCGTCCCTCCCTCGGTCCACACCACGCGCACGGCATCGACCACGTCGCACTGGGTGTAGTGCTCCACCGCACGCCGCAGCATATCGGGCCGCTTGAACGTGTTGAGCACCGCCGTCACACGCTCGTCCGGCGGGTGGCCGCCGCCGGGCTGGTGCCGCGCGTGCCGCTGCGCGGCCGCCGCGGCGCGGAGCGAGAGGCTCTGCCCCAAGGATCGCGGAACGGCGGCTGATGCGAGGAGGATAAGCAGGCTCGGCCGCATCACTCGGCCGCGGGCGCGGCGGCGTGCCACCTTGGTTGGAAGAATTTAACGAGGCCAAGCCCCTCTCACAGCAGACGGCACAGCAGTTTGGAAGAAAAGCGAAAGCACCTACCGAATTGTTAAAATACAAACCTCTCTCACACCACTCGGCGCTGCAGCGTGGCGCACAACTGAACCCTCCCATACGTACGTGCTTGTGCTCCTCCTTTGCTGTCCCATCTCCTCATCTCTGGGAATGGGCCGTCGCGAACCACGTGAGGGGCGAGAGCTGGCAGAAGGTTGCAGAGACGCGACGCGCGCGTCGAGTCGAGTCGGAGAGCCGCGCCGCACCAGCAGCAGCATCTGCACCAGCGCAGCACCACAGCAGCACCAGCAGCAGCAGAGAGAGGCGCGCCATTTTGAGATTGCCCGAGACAGCCCGGAGATGGTCCCGCGTTGTAGCCCCCCGGTGCCGGCGCCTCACATCTCAGCCTCGAGGGGCCGGTTCCGCCGCGCAGTCGAGCAGCAGGAGCTCGGGCAGAACTTCGTCGACAAACAGGTTGAGCAAAATTTCGGCGAAGAAGCGGCACCGGCGGCACGCCGGGATGAAACCGGACCGATCCCATTGTTCAGAACCGCTGCGGCGAGCCGCCGTGGGCCCACAGGACGCGGCACTAGACCGCTTCCGCGCCGCCAGCGGGGCGAGAGCAGCAGCCGACAACCTGCCGACATGGCAGTTGCGATGGCGCTTTCACACACACACACCCTCGGGCGTCTGCCTCTTCCTATAAGGGCGTACTTCCTATCTCTCTTCGCAGTTTCTCGCTCAGTCGTCCCACTCTCGTCGTTCTCTCCCTTGTCGCTTCTTCCTCCTCTGCCTCGCCCCGCCCCCACCCCGTCCCGCCGTGCGCGCGTCACCAAAAAAAGAATCTTACAACAAAACTCCCTCGCACAACACTGGGCACGGGACTGGCGCGCACTGGCACGAACACAGGCAAAAAAAGAAATAAAACAGACAACCCAAGGGTCACCAGAAAGAAAAAAAACAACCCAAGGGAGGGATGGGAGGACGGAACGCCGCCACCACACAGGGATTTTAAGGAGAGGTGTGTGGTGCGCTAGCCGTCGCCCACCCTAGGGAGTCTGCCTCTTCCTATCTCTCTTCGCAGTCTCTCGCCGCTTCTCGCTGCAACCTTCGTGCCACCTCGCGGTCGTCCCACTCTCGTCGTTTCTCTCCC